TCATTTAGGGTCGTATTCCAGAACTCTACTCAATGCTCAAGTCAGGACTTGAGTATGATTTAAAGCACTGAAAATCATACTCAAGCCCTTGCTATTAGGGTCGTATTTCCAGTGCTTGAAATCATGCATTGAGTAGAGCTCTGGAATACGACCCTAAAATCGCTATCGCTAATAGAAACGCCAAGTCTTTAAAGCAATTTGTATTAAATGTAGATTTCGCTTCGTTTCAGATGGCAAAGGAGTAAGGAAAGGGTAAATGAATAAGCCGCCAGGCAAACTGTTATCGAATTTCATGCTAGTCCAGTATTGTAACGGAGAATCGAACTGTTGGCCATATCCAGGACTGCGAGAGGGTACTCGTACCAAAGTCAGTAGTCGCTGCGTACAGCCAGCAACTAAGCTGCCAATCAAACTTGTCAATGCTGTTCTAGTCAAACAAATAATAGTCTATAATGGCATTCATTTTGACAGACAGCGTTTTGTTGCTCGCTGCACCGGGCCTACACGATATAATTACGATATTTTAGTACTTACAGTATTTATTTCGTATTAAGTTGGTTAAGCTACTTTTTTTATTATTTTTTTTACGTTATTAATGCCGAATCACATTCGACATTTGTATATAATTTTCGCGACTGATTTTTCGTGTTTTTTTCGTACTTGTATACATGCCGTGTGCTTCGGGTTTGTAGACTGGGAGCAATACAGTTCTGATAGGAGAGTTAGGGCTTTTGTAAAGTATATAATATTTTATTGGCGTCTGTCTCAATTGTACTAGTCCTACGACAATGGCATTTATTATATTCGCTATTGCTTTGAATATTAATTAAGGTCGAGGAGATTTTCTCAAAAATTTTGGCTTGCTGTTTGGTAGACATAATCAAAGAATTAAGTGACTATATTCACTTTAAGTGTCTATGATTTCAAATTGAAGGGGTTAGCTCGTTATAGAACATGCTGGCCTACAATTTTTTTCGGATAAGCGTGAACGACAAATGTTGAAACTATTTTCACAGAGTACTTTTCACTGTTTTTGATTGGGTGCAAGCTAAAATATTACCCACACGCTCAAATAGAATACAAGATTTTGTATATCATCCATCATGTTCTATAGGGAATAGGCTGTTAACTTCTCAAAAATTGATTTTACAAGATACGGCAAGACCGTTGACCATCGTAATTTGAATTGCTTTCTCGTTAAATAACTTTGGAATTGCTCAATGAAAACGATGACACCATATCACATAGAGAAAGCTTCCATTTTACTAGAGATTATGTCTAAATTCTAAATATAATGTTCGACATTCAAGTTACTTATAAAACACACTTAACTCTTAAAATAGGTAAACGTGAAAAAGTGTGATTTGCACGCTAAAGCATATACTGCCATTAATGAATATCGCAAATTTGAACATCTATAAAGAAATTATATATATGACTATAGAGGTCGTCATGGGATAACAGAAAACGTGTTTTCACGGAAACACAGTTTATCAATTCTAGCGCCTGAGACTCGTAAAGACGAAACACGCAATGGTGACGTGCGTATATATCTGGCTACTGCGCACAGGTTCCCTGTTTGAACTTTATGATTTCAATGGCCATGAAACCATTATAGAAATCAAACAAATACTTGTCTACGTAAGTAGTACCTTTATCATGACTTTACAAGGTTGATAGTCGCTAGTCAACAACTTTTGTTACATGACTTTCCATCATTCATTAAATTTTATTTTGGTACAAAAATAAGAATATTTAAATAGATCGCTCTAAATGGTGATAACTCTGTGTGGTAACATAAGAAAGCGCTAGAGTGAATACCAGTCCGATGCAAAACAGGAGCAGGAGTTCATCGAGGAGGGCGCTTGCACGTTTGAACCTACTACCTTACTAGAAATAGGGAATCGGACAATTTTTCAGAAAGTGTCTAGAAATAACTAAAATAGATATGTACAGACATGAAAAATAATATTTTATTAAAATAAAGCTTAATAGTCTCTAAAATGTGCTAAAACTATGATAAAATTTAAATAGAAACAAATTGGCGCGCAAACGTAACAAAATGTCAAATTGAACGCGTGACGTCATTTGTAGGTAAACAAGCTATGAAATCAAGGGCAAGGTGTTATTTTAAAGTTTTTGTGAAGTTTGAAGTCGTTATGGAACGGAAAACATATCGTTGGTGTGTAGTACCTCAATGTAGGAATAATGGTAATGTACAGTCCTTCCATCGCATGTAATTTTCCATATCATTCGGCAGCTAAAATTCGAATACATAATTATTACATTACATAATTAAAGGCACTAGTGAATATAACACAGCATTTACTATATAATTATTAACACATGCTTCGATCTATGTATCACTCACTGCATAAAGTGTACTTACGTCGAAGTGATCCTCACAAAAGTATATCGCTGAATTTACAGACATTTCGTCGTGCTAGGACCAACCATTTTTTTCGTATGTCGGATTTTCGAGGTAGGTACATCAATAAATAGTTTATTTGGGGTAGTTATAGAAGTATTCCTACATTGAGGTACTACACACCAACGATATATTTTCCGTTCCATAACGACTTCAAACTTCACAAAAACTTTAAAATAACACCTTGCCCTTGATTTCGTAGCTTGTTTACCTACAAATGACGTCACGCGTTCAATTTGACATTTTGTTACGTTTGCGCGCCAATTTGTTTCTATTTAAATTTTAACGTAGTTTTAGCACATTTTAGAGACTATTAAGCTTTATTTTAATAAAATATTATTTTTCATGGCTGTACATATCTATTTTAGTTAATTCTAGACACTTTCTGAAAAATTGTCCGATTCCCTATTGTCAGATAGTACAACAAAAACTTCAAACTTTTATTTTTGGTAAATTTATTATGTTTTGTAAAAAGTCATGGAACAAATGTTGTAATTTATGATGTTAATTCTACAGTCCTGCGAGCTTGATTAGTATTTTACAAATAAGCACGCAGGACTGTAGAATGTGGAAAACCTGTATGCGGCGAATGCCGACTATCAGATTTTTAATGAGCTAGACAAAACTGACTTTTTATTGTGTTTAAAATTTTTAATGAAATAATAATAGAGTTGTTTAAAAAATCGACTTCAATGACTCGTTACAAAAAGTTGTCTACGAAATCAACTTTAATGATCCAGTCAGTATGTCATCATCTCTTACTATGTCTGGTTCAGTATGTTATGAACTAAACACGTTATTATACAGTACACATGTTAGCATTATTGTAGAAAGTAAAAGAGACACTGTGATTTGAATAAACATATGTATGTCCGATCTTCAATAATGTGAAAATATAGATACTGTAGATTCTGCCAATAAGCGCATGCTTAACTGCAACCAAAGTTGCCTTTTAATTGGGCATACGAAACTCGCCGCTACTGCGTATATGTATAGCCCAACCACAGGTGAAAACCAAAAGCATCTAAAAAAATTTATAATGTTAACGTTTGCTCTGAGTGGTAATTAAAACAACAAATAAATTGCTGATCAAAAAAGGACTGGACATGTCCTGAGTGTTATTATTACAATAATAATAGCGAAGTGTACAAGAACCCAGCAAAAAGAACTACAAATTTCCAATATAAAACGACTTCAGTGGCGTTCCATTCCCGGTAGGACAAATTTGGAAACGAATTTTTCTGAAAATTCAAATTGCGAATAAACGCGATTAAAACAATTTAATAGGTATTTAAACACCTATTTATTATCCCGACGTTTCGGCCAGGCTACACTGGCCATGGTCACGGGCTGACCGGAGGTGCGATGTTATTTTATTGTAAATCGGTTATGTTCCGGTTGTACTCCTAAATTGTGAATTTAGTTACTTTGTTACTCATTGTACTCGGAATTCCGTAATTTGAGACTGGAGAATTGATGGATTAAACAAAATTACATTACTGGCGACTATCGACGAGAATGATAAAGCGCGACTTGCGCTAGAAGCGATATAGAAGCGCGAAAATAGAGTTATCTCGCCCTCTCATGTCGCTACTCGCGCAAGTCGCGCCCTGTCGTGTTAGAGCTGCAGAAACTCATAGTAAAAGTACAGAATACCATAAAAGTTTTATTCGTTTGATCTTAGGCTGACAAACTACTTCAGACTCTTAAATGATGGCGCTAGTTGTCTTTTGATATCAATGTTCGTGTCGTCAGAAGAATAAAATAAGTTCTATTATCATGAACGAATAACTTGAGAAGACTGCTAATCGCGATACAAGACAGGGTAGTCGGGTATTTAGTACCTATTGGTAAACCAAATATCGCGACGACTACCAAAAAACTATTTTTGTAACCAATTAATTTTACATACTTATTATTTCCTTAATGGCGGCCACTAGGCTTGGGCCAGTGTCAGTTTCAATATATGGTGTCAGTTAATTAATATTGATCAAGAACGCCAACGTTTAGGCAGCAGCAAAAAAGATGAGCTGTTGTTAAAGCTACTCTAATTAGTGATAACAAACAAAGCAACTAGATGGCGCTTATTGCACTGAATTTTATGGATACTGCCAGCTATTATTTTATTTTGTTTAGGATTAGCGCCATCTACCCCTATTAGCAAGCGTTAATTTGTAAATTAGTTTGTAAAACACAATACCATCTATTGAAACGCATATTTGTCAAAGTTCAGAAAATAATTTTAGCTCATGGTCAATATTTGAATAATATTTCTAACAAGGAAAAGAACTGACTACTTATATTTCATATTAAAGACGAATTAATTGGTATCCACAGCCATTTACATAATATAAACTACTTCCATGCTATTGGTCAGCGCCATCTAGATCATTAGAAGACGATATTTTGACCGTTTTCAGAGATACGATCTATAGTATGGCGATTAGCAGTCCCCTTTGGATGCTTCTATAAAATTCCGCAATATGGCAAAAGTCGTAACTTAATTTGTCAACCTTTACTATTAAAATTGTATAAACAGTAGTTCGCTAACCGAATTTTTAACAATAAGCGTGTAAATATATAAAGGTAGCTGTACCTGTCATTCCTTGGGGAAAGCCTTGAATAGTCATGTAGCGATTGAGGTGAGGCCTTTGAAACAAAGATAGGTAGTTAGTTAATTATTCACAAACAAGGTGTAAACTGTGTAGATATTTGACTCTAAATCATCCACAACGGTCATTGATGTTTCAAAAAGTATTGTATTGATTACAATTTATTTAAGATCACTACAATGGCACCATAGTAGAAAAAAAACTCACTTTAGAAACTTTTCTTAGAACTCATTAAAAACTGTTAATTATAAAATAAACCATTAATATTAATATGAAAATAAAAAATGCGTGTTCAATTTTTTTTCGGGGGGTAGACCACGGCTTAATGTATACAAACACAAATTGCTATACTGAGAATTGGACGTTACACGGTTGACATAAGTCTTAAATTTGCAGTATCGGTGCCAGTTTGTTTAGTGTATGGTCGTATGTAACATTAAAAATCAAATTACATCACTCCCCGTGAAGGGCGATTGCATATTGATCGATTAACAAGTTCTACTATTGTATATATCTACATACAATACGCCGTACAAAACTATTGTACAATATAACAGAAGAAGGTACTTTAATTTGGTAAGGAAATGTCTTTGTAGTGTTTAGTGATCATAAAGTGTTGTTTTTTTCATTGCCAATTGGCAATTGGCAGTGTACTTTGTTGTAATGTAGTAACTTCTTAACAATTATGCAATGGAATAAGTATTATTAGCAAAGTTGACGCTTTTGCACATTGTACCGTTATCGTTGTTGGCCGTCCCTTATGTTGTTAACCCATTTCTTACTAAGAACCCTTTGCTTATTAGTTGATGAGAAAAAGCAAGCTGCGAGTGGCCGCCGCTGGCTGCTGTTGCCTGCACGCAAAATAAACTTTTAAGGTGGTAAAGCGTTGACTTGGCTGGTAGTACATCTGTAACCACATTTTCTATAGATAAAAACTAGTTAATTACTGTTAAAAAGTGTAAATTTTTTAGTACAGAAATTCTAAAATGAGGTCCAATTGTTTTATGCCCAACGGAGTGTGTAACTGAGTGTGGGATTCGGCAAGTACATAGGTGTTCAATAGGGACTCAGATAAACTGGGCAAGCCAATTTAGTCTTATTATTAAAACTTAAATAAGAATTAATGACAACGTGCTAACAAACTATTTTACTATTAATTACAATTTTGTTATTGCGGTCTGACTTCCTGGTTATAAAAAATGGTGATGGTGTGTTTACACTAGGTCGACAAGTCGCCGTCGCATGCACGGCGAAGACGGAAACCCATCAAGTGTAAACACAGTCGCATGCCGCCGAAGTCGACCGAATCGATTAGGTGTAATCACTGTCTAGCCACTCGATCGCCTTCGCTTGCCGAAGAGGCGGCAATTGACACAGTGTAAACATCGCGTTGACTACGCCGTTTTCTGCAGTCGAATTTGCTTGCCGAAGAGGCGGCAGTCGACCGATGTGGACAGCGAATCGACTGCGCCTCCTTTGACAAGGCGAAGTAGTCTACCGAAGGCGGCAATCGACTCTATGTAAACATGCTATGATAAACTTGTAATTAGTAATAATCATTTAAGCGTGAAACACATAGAAAACGGGTGCGGGTCGGGAGCGTGTCAGGTCGGGAGCATGGCGGGTGTAATTCCGTGTATTTATATGGACGACAACACACCACAAGCGGACTGACTGAGAATATAACTTAACCAGTTTGTCTCTTGTCACTCCATTTCACACGCTAAACAAAGTATCGAAATCGTATTAAAATGAGGCTCATAGCGAAGTTTTAAGTCATAACATAATTAAACGAGGTTTCATACATAATAGATGTTAAACCGACGACTTAGATAAATAGCT